ATAAAAATACGCTAGTTAAGAATACTTATGTAGATTAAAAAGAAAATAATATCTTGGCTAAAATATTGTCTTAATATAAATCATCAGTGCTAAGTACGGCTTAAGACAAATGGTCAAGTATTTATTATTTTGAACCAAGGGGAATGTTGAAGCATTGTTTTACAGCGTACTACGCGTTTTAATTAATTCTTAAGCTCGGCCTTAGACGTCATTCGAGTTATTATAGGGTAGTAAAAGAGAATTACTGGCAACTCCCGCTTATCTCCCGACGCGGGGTAGCCAGGTTTTTGCGCACTTTCGGTTACTGGTCTGGAAAAAGCTTACGCGGGAGCTTTCGTGGTTATTTTTTTACTTTTCAAATTTTTTTTATCCACAACAAGGAAGCTCTTGGCCTGTATCTCACCTCATGGTAAGGGACGATCAGGCCGAAGGTGGAATCGAGGACGATCAGGCCGAAGGTGGAATCGAGCTTCACCCGGAATCCTCAACCACGGAGGAACTGGCTATCTTACCTCTAACTGCCGAAACACAATAATGCTGTTAACATTGTTGTTATGGCGACAGACTTAGGTAGGATGGTGGTAGCTAGCCAGGCGGACTTAGAACAAGCCCTACCACCTCAGATCATAGAAGGGAATAGATATGAACTCGCGCGTAACTACAACGAGAACCAGTGTCCCCACATTTCCCCCACCACAGTTCCCACACGCACATTCAACTGTGTAAAAACAAAGCGATTGACAGTCTACGACACAGGCGCACAAATGCAATGATTGGCCACAGGCACTTCACGCACACTTTGAAAACGCTAGTGAGAGAAGAAAGATAAAATGGAGTCGATAAGATATCGATACTTAAAATGGTTGGGGGCAAGGCTCGAAACTGGTTTAAAAAAATGGTTATGTATGAAAACCTTTTTATTATTATTATACGTTATTATTAACTACTATCACGCATTAACTTTTTAATTTTGGCGAACTTCGTACCGCATATGTTTATCAAAAATAATGCCTATATTAGGCTTTCAACTAGCTCTTATAGTAATTACATAGTTGACAGTTACTAATTACTTCTACTGTTATTATTGTTTTTGTAAAATCTTAAAAATCGCAAGCAACTCATCATTTTTTCATTCAAAATAGAAAATTATAATTTACTTCTATTTATCGATAATAGGAAACCGCATTAGAACACGAGCCCTGCACTATGTTACGACCGACACATGCGGCTGTACTGTGTATTTTCACGCGACGGTGGATATCGGAAGGAATTAAATACAATGAGCAGTAGTTGAGCATGACATAAAGTAGTTGCTAATTAAATCGTCAATGTACACGTGTTAGAATTTTTATCACCACTGATTTCGATATCGCAGTAACTGTTACGGCACTGAATTCGTTCGTAAAAATGTTTAGTTTTTTTTATTTATAAGCAAAATACCAATGGATTTTCAATACTTTAAAGTAGTAAATAACTCCATTGTTCCTGTAGTTCTTCGTTTCACTTGTGTTATTGCACGTAGGTCGCCACTCAAGAACTTTCCTGCCCCAGCGGCCATCAGCTCTTCGAGCTATGTGCCCCGCCCACTGCCACTTGATTTTAGCGATTCTGCGGGCTATGTCAGTCACTCTGGTTCTCCTACGGATCTCCTCATTTCTGATTCGATCACGCAGGGAAACTCCGAGCATAGCACGCTCCATCGCTCTTTGGGTGACCTTGAGCCTTCTTATGAGGCCCATAGTAAGCGACCACGTCTTAGAGCCATACACCATCACTGGCAACACACACTGGTCAAATACTTTTGACTTGAGACACTGCGGTATTTCGGACGTGAGAATTTCGCGAAGCTTCCCGAACGCTGCCTGAACTCGGCTGGAGTTGGATTCGACGATTAACCTGAGAAGAAGCGCCGCAGAATCGCTAAAATCAAGTGGCAGTGGGCGGGGCACATAGCTCGAAGAACTGATGGCCGCTGGGGCAGGAAAGTTCTTGAGTGGCGACCACGAGCTGGAAGACGTAGCGTGGGCAGGCCTCCCACTAGGTGGACCGACGATCTGGTGAAGGTCGCGGGAAGTACCTGGATGCAAGCGGCGCAGGACCGGTCTTTGTGGAAATCCTTGGGGGAGGCCTTTGTCCAGCAGTGGACGTCTTTCGGCTGAAACGAACGAACGAACGAACGAATTGCACGTAACGACATAATACAATGAAATATCAGAGAACATTTCCTCAGTACGACTGAATCGCGACTAACCTGGCTTTGCGGCCAATGTTCGTTTCTGGGCATATCGCGGAGACACGCGCCACGCCCCCGTTTCACATCTATTCCCTTCTATGATCTGAGCCTACCACCAACCAAACCGAACAGAAAAATCTGCCCCCACTGGGAATCGAACCCCCGTCTGCGTCTGAAGCAGGTGGTCTTACCACTAGACCACAGAGGCGGTTAGATTAATATAGAATTTTAATATCAAAAGATTTTCTTCTCCGGAACAAACTTGACCTCCATTGGTTGGGTTTTTATGGCGGTCAAGCTGTTAGATCCTGGCTACACAGGAGTTGCAGCGGTGGGAACGAGAGGTGGGAATAGTCCCGTCAAAAGCTTTTCTTTTGTGTAAGTAACTTATAACAGAAAGACTTAAGAAATGGTTTTATGGTTTTAGATACCTATTTATTTTTCTAAAAGAATACAATTATATTCACTTATAAGAAAAATACAGAATACACTTTATAATAAATAAGCAGCAAGTGCACGCAACAGACTAGCTCGTTTCATTTATGTATTAAATGAAACTAGGTACAGAAAATAATGAAGTTAAAATAAAATAAAATAATAACAAACCACTCAAATGCTATATTTTTTCAAATTCATGTGTAGTTTTATTCTTAACCTACCCACACTGCGACTACAAAACCAGAAAGAAACCGGTATAAAAACTATCCTATACATATTTTCCTCATCTGAAATTATCTGTATATCCATCAATATAAAATATCATGTATATTTTGGAAATATATACGAGTACGAGAACATACTTTTTAATAACATAACCCTCCATCTGTCGTAGTCGGGTAAAAATGATTTTGCATTTGTTATAAACTAGCCTAACATAATTATATGTTATTCTGGGTCATAAACTACAATACTGTAAAGTTTCATAAAATCCGTTCAGTAGTTTTTGCGTGAAAGAGTAACAAACATGTTAACATCCAGACATCCATACAAACTTTCGCATTTATAATATTAGTAGGAAGTAGGATAGTTTGCTACAAAAACAATGAGCATTTTGGCAATCAGTAAAACCGCTTTTGTCCTAAATTGCATTAGGTATATAAATAGAACATCAACAATATTATAATTGTCAGAGATTACCCGACTTCGCTAGAGATCGGACAGTTTGAGAAATACAGTTTTTTTTGTTCTGTATTATAATATTCTGCAGTCTATGTAAGTAGCTTAATTATTATTAACGAAATATTGTAGGTACTTATCTATACTAATATTATAAATGCGAAAGTAACTCTGTCTGTCTGTCTGTCTCACTTTCCCGCCTAAACCACTGAACCGATTTTGATGAGATATAGTTTGAGTCCCGAGAAAGGACATAGGATAGTTTTTATCCCGGTTTTTTTTTTGTTTTTGAACCAGGGACGCCGCGATAAAGTTTTTCTGTGACAGACAAAATTCCACGCGGGTGAAGCCGCGGGCGGAAAGCTATATAGTTTATGTATAAACTACGTGTTCGAGGTATAATTTAAAGGTGCGGTTAACTACTACTTTTTAATACCATAATATATCCCATTTTCACCAGAAGCAATTTTAAATACTTCTTTTGAGAAATTGCTACTTAAAAGTTTCTGTGTAGGTTGTTGTCTTGAAACCTTATATTTTCATGTTAATATGGATGCTATTTTTAAGTTATTTGATTTTTAGCGATAAGAGTCGCATCTCAAACTAATTTGAAAATTATAAATAACTTGTTCAGTAGTTTTTGCGTGAAAGAGTAACAAACATCCAGACATCATGACATCCATACATCCAAACTTTCGCCTTTATAATATTAGTAGGATATAAACTAAATGACTATCAATATTTAAATAATAATACTGCATGACGACTAAATGTTTGCTATCGCTATGTCGATGAAATATTTTGTTCTCCTAACAAAATAATAACTGAAATGTACGTGTTTTAAGCAAATAAATAAATTTGAATTTGATTTTTGAAAGTACCAAAACGTAAATCTTTGATAAATAGTTACTTAAAGTAAGTTATATTTTGACTCTTTTCACGATCACCTCATAGTCATCCTTCTCTCTTGTCAGTAACATACAAAGTTCATGCATGAATTAATAAACTGCTCACAAAATTAAGTTAATGTTAGAAAGATATCAAAACAATGAAAATAAATGAATAATATATATTTTTGAACACCTTCACACAGCGCTATCTAGCCCCAAATTAAGCAATTAATAAACGTATGTAAAGGGAAGGTGCGTCAAAATCAAAACTAGCATTAATTAAGATTTTTAAAAACTTCTGAACCTTTAAAACAATTAGTTAGTAAACAACTGTTTTGAATTTTCGAAATAAAACAATTAATATTTGATATCTCGCCAAATCAAAAATATTTATCATTTTTCTTGACTCATTTTTCATCATAATTTAACACAACAAGATTACTATTCTGAAGAAAATACCTAAAAATATGTGTTATTTTTATGCAGAACGGTCACGATTTATACTTACCTTCGTGGATCTTCCAAGAAAAAGCTGAAGAAATATGGGAAAGAGATAAAAGTCACAAAATTGCCTTCTTGTATGGTTAAGCAACCCAATAATTATGAAGAATAACATCACAAATTTATTTGCTATACCTACTTTTTTTTTTTTTTAAATTGGTGAAGGGATAAAAACGTTATTATTACAAAACGAAGGCAAATTAAGGAAAAACTACAAGACATTCCTCGTTACGGTTAAAAATATTGACAACAACATTATTATGGAGGAGTGGTTTCAACCCCAGAATCTGAACTACTTTCTTATAATAGCAATAACAATATTATCATGTTATCTATACTGCTCTTACAAACTAAACTACTGGAAAAGGAGAGGTGTTATACAACTGAAAAATACAAGTAAGATATTTGGGGATTTCAAGGATGGAATTTTGTTTCGAACTGCACCTGGCTACCATTTGGGCCAGCTGTACAAAGAGGCGCCCGCTGACGCTCCTTACGTTGGATTCTACATTTTCCACAAACCGTGCCTCCTGCTGAAAGATCAGGAGATCATCAAGCAAATACTGATCCGCGATTTCGATAACTTCTCCAACCGGCACTTTGCGGGCTCATTACAAAAAGACAGCATCGGCATGGTCAATCTCTTCGGCATAAACAACCCTGCTTGGAGATACTTGAGAAGGATGATCACCCCGACGCTGTCCCGGGGAAAACTCAAGCAAATGCTTCCGCTGATGATAGAAACCGGTAAACCTATGCTGGATCATTTGGACCACTTGACTGATTGTAAAACACCTAAAGTTATTGATGCCCAGGACGTTAACTACAAGTATACAGCTGACCTCATCTCTAACGTCGCTCTTGGCACCAAGACTAATTGCTTTAACTTCCCCGACTCCGATTATTGCAAAAACGGTAAGTTATGCATAAAATAACTCGATACATGACGATCATACTAGAACCCAATAATTAATTTCATAATTCTATGTACATTATTCTAGTTATGGCGTTTTTCCATTCCTTCAAGAGAATGGTGGCTTTGGTCACAGTATTTTTCACGCCAGAACTCGTTAAAATGGTCGGATCTCCTATTTTATTTGATTCGACGTTCATCGGAAAAATGTTTTGGAATGCTGTGGAGTCACGCGAAAAAAGCAGGGAAAAAAGAGGAGACTACATTGACTCAATCATTAACTTGAAAAATGGGACGCAGGATTCTCTTTACAGTAAGTTATAAATAGGTAGTTGAGGACAAATGTTGTTAGACGTTAATAATAATTATCCCGTTTTAGAATTCGATGGTGACAATCTTTTGTTCCAATCCGGAACATTCTTCTCCGGCTTTGAATCGAGCTCGACTGTAGCCGCTTTTACACTCATGGAGTTGGCAAAAGAGAAAAATATCCAAGACCGAGTTAGAGAGGACATCAAACGTGCCATCGATAAGCATGGGTGGACCCTGGAGGCCTTTGCTGAAATGAAATATTTGGACCAATGCATTTCAGAAGGAATCAGGCTGCATCCCTCGGTTACTACTGTTGATCGTATCACTTTTGAAGACTACCAGGTAGTTCTTTTCTTATCGCAGACCAACAATAAATTAGCAGACATCGATATCTAATAATGAAGTTCATATTTTAGATCCCGAACACAGATGTCGTTATCGAGAAAGGAACCCCTGTCTACATTACACTGTATGGTCTGCACGGCGATCCACAATACTTTGAGGAGCCAGAAAAGTTTAAGCCGGATCGTTTTGACAGCGACAGAATCGTACCTGATGCGTACATGCCCTTTGGTGCTGGGCCTAGGAAATGTGTTGGTAAGTAATGGTAATTACTCATGTTCTAATTTCTTCAAATATATCAAATGAGCAAAATGTACATAGTGCTGGAAAGATGGAGTAAGATGCACTATTTGACACTGTGCTGTTAGATATTTGTGGCCTGTAAAAATACTAATCATTTTAATTGAAAAAATTATCATCTTTCAAGCCTGCTGCAGACGTAATTTTAATCTTAGAACAACTAAAATGAAGGCAACGAAGAATTAATAGGTCTTTTAGTAACAATCAGTCGTATAGTGCAGTTTCGAAGGTACAACATGTTATTTTAAAAGAGCCATTTTACACTGCTCGCTCCAATATCACCAACGTTTAATGTTGCAGGTGTCCAAATTGGCCAATTGCACGTGAAAGTGGTGTTATCCATGATTTTGTCCGAGTACGAAGTGCGTCAACCGAAATCAGCGGAGGTCAAATTGGACAACCGGTCCACCGTTACATCAGCTGCTGAAGGAATCAACTTGGAATTCATTAAACTATAAACATTGTTATTTATATCTCATAATCTTAACGGAAACTAACGATCTGAATGGGTATAGTTTTCTATGTATCAGTCACATTAACGATAAAGAAATAGGTAGCTTTAATCGCCCGATTTTTCATATCAATTAATAGTAGGTCAATAAAGCTGTTATCACTATCTCCAAAGTCAACTTTATTGTTGTTAATTACAATTGTATGCCAGATTAAGATTACATGTTTATTTTAAAACGTGACGTTCACGCTTATCATGTGACGTCGAATGTTTTGTTTAGATATTCGCTATTTCGACCATTAATCCAGCGGTCATATTAAGTCTTTGCCTTTCAGTAGTGCAGTGGGTCACAGTTCCAGCTACCTATTTCCGCTTTTTCTCTCGCTCTCATCAAATGGTGATTCTTTGCGACAGAACGAGACGTTAATACCTACGTTATGACATTGGCCCATAGTAACATGTGGAGTGTAATTGTTCGAATTTTACAATAATGATTACTTTGAGTTGCCCATCCTGAATCCCGAATTCAATATTACCAGCTTGTACATTATTTGTCCACAACGAGGAAGCTCTTGACCTGCATCTCGTTTGTTCGTTCGTTCCAGAACGAAAGAAAGAAAGACGAACCGAAAGACGTCCACTGCTGGACAAACGCCTCCCCCAAGGATTTCTACAAAGACCGTTCCTGTGCACCTCCCGCGACCTTCACCAGATCGTCGGTCCACCTAGTGGGAGGCCTCGAGAACTTTTGAGAGCTATATTATATCGGTCACTTTGGTTCTTCTGCGATCTGCATCTCACCTGATGGAAACTGATGATTAGGCCGAAGGTGGAAGCCAGCTTCACCTGAAATCCTCAACGACAGAGGAACTGGCTAGCTTCCAACTGCAATGCTGAACATTGTTATTATGGTGTTAGACCTAAGTGTGGTGAACACTTTTAGACCGCTACTGTTTTTTTAATTGTAGTTTGTACCTCATACCTACTTATGTTGATAGTTAGTACTTATTTTCTCAGCCTTTAGTGGTATAGGGCCTTCTATTAAAGAAAAAATGAAAAAAGATACAAATGTAAAATGTGTTTACTAGAACTAATTTTTATCTTATAAGACTAGTGTGAGCAATATAAATGTACTTTTACTGTATAAAATGTTTTATTTAATACATCTTCTTCTTCGTCGCTACACTCTTGCCAGAGTGGTCGTGGTCGTCACACCAGGTCCGGTGGCAAGTCTCACAATCCGTCGCCATTCCTCCCGCACTGTGCACATGGTGTATTAAAAATAATTATAAAAACTGAGTTAAGTATAAGTTACGTACCTACAGTTTTTTTTTCAGTAGTATCGCTTTTACTGTGAATGCAGATGTTCTAATGACAAAGATTCTACTAAAATAACTTTTTCATTTACATTGTAACTATTGGTACAGTCGGCGTTTGTGACACCCAAAGTAGGTAGCCAAAAAGTCACAACACAGCCTTAAAGACATGTCGTGAACTTTTTGGCTTCTTTGGGTGGCACGGACTATTTGATGCTGACTGTAATTTTACTTGTAGGTATAGTAACCTAACAAGTATAATTTTAACCCTTTGTTTGTGGACTCATAAAAGAGACACCCTGTATACAGGTACTTTATCAGGCTCCATAGTTAAATTTCGCCCGCCATCGCGTCGCATGTGTAGCCCCGTACTTATAAACCCCGTTTTATTTTAGGGAGGATTATGAACTGGCGGAGTGCCGTTATTTTGAGCCGGGTTCTTAAGGGCTCCTATTATCATGGAAGGGCCCGAACAATGGGACGTGATGAAGATGCCATGTAGAGATTATGTCCGACCTTTTTGTTCAAGGTTAGGGTTCGTTAGGAAATGTCAGGACGTGTTGAGTGCCTGTCATATTTCTAGGTGGGGAATGTTTCATGATTTTTTATCATGATTATCATATTTTAACATTATTATCATATCTTTATTTTATTAATTTATCATATTTTATCTTTAATGACGTATCCTATGTGATATGATGTGTGTATCTCCATAATTTTTAACCTTCATTTTCAGATAGATCCTGTTTATTCTGTAACCTATTATTGGTACCGTTTGAAAGAGCTCATGAAGCACTTTCAGGATCAATAACGAGTTTTTCAATATCTTGAATAGTTTAGAAATAATCGAGTGAGATCACTTAACGTTTCCACCCTGTATAGATAACATAATAAGCCCAAATATACGGGTTCGGTAATTATACCCCATTATTATAACTGTTTAGGTATTTTTTCATACAAAATTATGTATATCTGTGGATAATGTATAAAACAATCCTGGGTTTATTGAGTTTTCATTCACGTTTTTTTTATTTTATAACATAATATTGTCTCGAAATTATTATATAATGTTTACTTTAGTTGACAAAACTTTCAATTTTGTTTTTTTCATGTTATTTTTGGCTCAGAAGAAGAAATACAATCATTTTATTTGATACTTTGTTGAATATTATGTTTTTAGCCTAAATTAAAGATTGATAACTAAATACGCAATTATTTTATTTAGTTTAATATGTAATTTACATAAAAATAACCGGTTTTTTTTATAAGTGTCCAGTTTACTGGCCAGTGTTTTCATATGAATATTGGTGATTTTAGTGATGCAGAACGGTCAGTGGTCAGTATACTGACCATTAGTTTTTTTGTATTTTCTCGTAAAATATCTAGTTCTGATAATTTTATTAATACATGTTGTTATAAATAACGCTATAGAATATATATCCACTTAGAAATATAGCGAATTAAAAAAAAAGTTAGGGTGTGCGTTAAAGGGTTAATAGTGACTGAGTTTCTTGAGCTGCTTCTTCTCAGCACTGGCCCATTGATAGTAAAGCTGGTAGGGTTAATACTGGGACGTGTAAAAGTGCTTTATAAAAGCCTACTTGCAATAATAAAATTAGTTTCATGAGTGCGCCTGCGTGCGCGATGGCGATCAGTATCTAGAAAGTATGTCGTCATAACAACAATGGTAACAGCAGTATGTTTCGGCAGTTAGAGGTAAGATAGCCAGTTCCTCCGTGGTTGAGGATTCCGGGTGAAGCTCGCTTCCACCTTTGGCCTGATCGTCACTTGCCATCAGGTGAAATACAGGCCAAGAGCTTCCTCATTGTGGATATAAAAAAAAATCACTGTATCGCCATCGCTATCGCGCACGCGGGCTGCACGCATTGGTTAACTTTAACTGAACCGCGGGATCAAGGCTTACCTCGAGCGAAGTCACCGTCAAAAGCTAGTTGTACACCCATATATTTCTATCAGGCTTAAACCTTGTCCCGTTGCTATCTAAAGCAATAAAATGCTATCTACCCAAGAAATCCGAGAAATCCGGCGTCTCCGTCTGACTGCGCAATAAAAAATACCTTCCTTCTGGAGGCAACAGGTTGACCTTACGCCTGACCCTTGAAATCTGGATCTGTGTTACGCCCTTTTTCAGACCTTACGATCTATAACGGCATTGTTATGGATATTTTAGAGGTCTACTATCCGAGACATGATCTTTATGGTAGGGAAGTTCTTTCAGGACAAGTTTTATGACGTCATTACCTAAAGATTCGGATTGATTTAGGCGTATTTGATGGTGATTTGGATAAAGGTAAACGCCGTTTGATAACCCATTTTGGTCTGCAAGGGTTTTTAAATTGTTTTGCATAATTTAATGCCACCAAACTCTACATTTCAATCAGGTATTCTATAAAAAAAGTAATGTATATTCATTTTGCCTTTTTATAGACTTAAATGAAATGGTTTAAAATACATATTCATCAATCGTTTAAAACACCATCCGTTGATGAATTATCGCAATATTTTTATGAAAGTTGCTTTTGATGTTAGATTTTATAGACAAAATTGAATTAAAGCCTTAGAAAGTTTCCATCCAGCTACTGATATACGATCGTTAAGAACTTTACTCTATTACAAGCAGCACTAAGTTGAAAATTAAGTTGCAAAGTGTAATGCGACTCTAGTATCGGCTAACAAAGGCGTAGAGTTCACAAAAGATGCATCAAATTAGCCGACGGCTGCTCTACAACTTCAGAAAGTTCCTAAAAAGATAACTACTATGTAACAACATTACCGCCTCTTTGTTTACAAAGTGCGAGTACCTAATTAAAAAGAAGCTGGATAAATCATTAATAAACTTTTATACCTAGTATGTACCAATAGAAGTGTAGGACAAATTAAAAATGAAAATTCTTCTTAGTCTTCAGAGTGGCCGTGGTTGCGCTGACGAGGTACATGGTGGGGTGATGTCATCTCCGAGGGTAGCTCTCCTGGCGATGTGCTTCCATTTCTAGCGGGTAGAGGCATAGCGAGTACACTGGCCCCTAGCCCCTATACCACATATTATCCCTACTGAGATATCACCACCGGTAGGGAAACTAGGATTTTTTTCCAATTAAAGCTACCGGTAGAGATACATCCAACGCATTAAACGCAAGTCAAACTTGTTATGAAAATAATTTATACATTTTACATGCTTAATTAAATGAGACAGAGATTTGGTTTTTATTTTATGCTTTTGAGTTCAATCAAAGATCTGTCTAGGAACCATTTTTAGTAAAGTAAAAGTAGGTAATTAGGCATCTAAATCTGATTTATGTTTATATCGATTACCAACTAAAATTGGCATGCAAAGGACAAATTTTTGGTGCCCAACATTATTTTTAACGAACAAAGGGAATAACAACTGCCATTAAGGCCCGATCAACCCAGTCTAAACAAACAGGATCGGGACACCGATTAACAGACTACCCTCCCATTGGATTGTGTAACTACCGCCATTCAGTAGCCCATTTGTGCGTCTGCCCCATTGACCCAACTGCCGGCTTGTTATAGAGTTGCGTAGAAGCACCATTTATTGAAATAAGATTACAAACATTCTGTACTTAAAAAGCGAAATGAGGTGACCAGTAGGCGGAGGATACGAATGCTAGGATTTTTCACGATTACCCTTTCATAAGTCGTCTAGAAATTTTGATGACATAATGTTATAACTTTATGTGTGACGTGTGAGTCTTGATAAAGTGCACATATTAAAATACTGAAACTAGACCTACTTTTATCGACGAAAAAAAGGTAAAAAAAAACTGAGATTTCAAAAAAAAAATATAGATTTTTTTTTTCTTTCATTTACCTACTTGTCGTAAAGAAAACGTAATAACTTTTAAACTAAGGGGTATATCCTGATAAAATAAAAACAGTAATAATGCTACATAACAGGAAATACTAAAAATACATAAAATATCCAAAAAATGGCAAAAAATAATATAAAAATGTTACATTTTGAGAAAAATCTGCATTTTAATTCGTGTTTTTTTGGTTATTTGATAAATTTCTTCAAATAATACCCCCATAACAGGTGGTTTTTATTAAGTACTTGTGTTATTTCCTATCGTATTACCTTTGTAAAACCAAAAATCTCATGTCTCTATCCCTATCACAACGTTTGCAATGAGCGTTTGAACTAAGGCCTGCCACCACATTATTCTCCGACTCAGGTAGTAGTAGGTAGTAATCGC